AGTAAGTAAGTAAGTAAGTAAGTAAGTAAGTAAGTAAGTAAGTAAGTAAGGAAGGAAGGAAGGAAGGAAGGAAGGAAGGAAGGAGGGAGGGAGGGAGGGAGGGAGGGAGGGAAGGAAGGAAGGAAGGATTTAAATTTTATAAATAAGTTAATTTCTTATTTTAGTATTTGTATATTATCATATTCTTCAATTTATTTGTCCATATGGTCAAAAAAGTACTGGTAAAGGACAAAGTAAAAATAAATATTTTCAAGTGACCATTATTTTTTTATTACAAAGAAACTGATTCAGGTTATGTTTTTGTATATAATAAAAGGAGCAACATTTGTAGCAGCAATCAAATTTCACAATTAATGAGGAAGGAGTCCTGTGACTGGTAGATTATTATTATTTTTCATTTCCCATATAGGATTGATAAAGAGATTTGTTGCAGGGCTATAAAATATCAATCGTGGATAAATTGATTGGTGGTGGCTCATGTCACTCATCAAGCCAGAAAAAAAAATATATGGTTCACACCATGTGAATTTGAGGATATGGTGTAAAAAATCATTTAAAATGAGTGAAAAGAACCAAGTTATATTTTTACTTTGCAATAAAAACAGTATTGAAAAATATGGTCCTCCTAGAACTTAGAACATTCTATTTTGAGACTGATTCACTTTGTAAATGTGGCTCAAATAAAAAGTTCTTTCCAATGGTATTCCTTTATTATTTGCATATTCACTTGGTATTACACACTGTTCCCATCTCAAAGGACTCTGCACAGTTCACAGGTCTTCTTCAGTTAGAAAGGTTAAAAAGAAATGTCATGATTTAATTACATTACAAATACAATAATCAAAGTGCTTAAAGACCTATCAAAAAGATAAATTAAAGGTGGGCAGGATCCTGTAACATTGTGGGTCAATTTCTTTTTAGCTCTTTGGGAAAAAATCATGCTTTATCATGCTTTCATTATTTTTCTCTATCTCTTTTACAGTTTTCAGTTATGAGCTCTTTTTTTTCCTAGCCCATACATGTCATCATTCTATTTTCTCCTCAGTCTCTGAAGAGCTTCACCAAACATTCACTGATTTCCCCTATAATTACCCAAACAATCTTACTAATGTGGTTTTTCTCTCAACTCTTTCATGAATTCTCAGGCACAGCACCAAAGAATAGCTCAAGATTGAAAGGGTCTGTTAATTGTGGGATCAGAATGTTAGAGATATAACAACCTTTTTTCTTAGAAAGAATATTTATTCTAATAAGTGAGATTTTTTTCCCCCTTATCTTTCATTCTTACAGATAGAACTGGTTCTTATGTAGTGAAAAGTGTTTTCTTGAAGAAGATGGAATTTTCCATGGTAGTGATGGCAATGTTGTCAATGTTACTGTCAGGAGCTACATGCCTTATTCTTCATACTAAAGCATGTTCTGTGGGGAAACTTCCCTTTATTAAGCACAAGTATTTTCTGCCAGGAGATTTCATAATGGCTGGGATACTATCTCAGTTCTACATGATATTGGATCCAGTTGGTTTCACAAGGCACCCATCTGAAGAACTGGTTGATGAGCTCATGTAAAGCTTTTCTCTTCTTAACTATAGCATATCTTAAACCATATATCTTTGTCTAATAGGTTGCCCTGGCAAATAAATACACAAACACACTTATGACAACTCTCCCCCTGATGTTTTTATTCAAATTCCATATTGAGATGTTCTTCTTTTTTTATGGTTAAATGAATCGTTACTGATGTACTATCAAGGTGCTGTACTATTTGTAGCTAAATCTATGTTAATCATTTAATTATTTCACTTAATATTAGGGAACAGTTGCATGCTTTGAGTTATTTTCCAAACAGCTGTTGAGCATGCATGGAACAATGACTTAGAGCCTCTCTGCCCTAATGAAACATCAGTGACTTTTATTGAGATAAGGTCTATCATTATCCCAGAAAAAAACATAATATATCTTTCATTGCAGATTTTAGGACGTCTTGATGGTTGTATAGGACCGGAACCAAAAACGACATTTCCTCTATTTACTCTTATTCGTATATAATAGGTTATACTCGAACCCATGACTGTAGAGATTGTCAATAAAGTACCGTCCTAACTGGATGAACCGAAGAATGGAGCTTCTCTCAACACGTGGCAAAATCATCCCCAACTATAAGTGTGATGCCAAGGACTGGGCAGTATCTGTTATTGCAGGACCTAACTCTTACGTCTGTCCCTTCATGGCAAACATCTTGAATGTCTATAAGATGCCCCAGGTGAGATTTTTTTCTTGGACTAAGTATACACTGTAAGAATAACCTTGAAAGACAGGAGGAAGAACTGCAGTCCTATTTAAAAAAAAAGTCTGATAAAAGAAATTTGAGACTAAACCAGAAGTGTATTTTCAGAAAGCATCTCATGATTAACACCCACTCCTCCCCAATTCTCTCGAAAGTTAAGGCAGGGGAAGGGAAAGTTTTTTCCTTTTTGCAAGGTTAATGTCATCCCTTCCAGATTGTCCAAGGTAGGAAACCAAAATCACACATATTAATAATTCTTTTATTGTAAGGTTACAATAACAGAGTCTTGCAAGTCTTAAACTACCTTCCATTATTTCTTTTACAAAGTCATGTTTACAAATACAACAAATAAACCAACTTTTCTTTTTATTACTTTTTTGTGTTTTGGAAATAAAGTGGCAATCCATACAATGATGAACAACATACCATGTGTTTGTAGAAGAGATAGATAATTTTAGTTACTTTACTTGATTTATTCTTCAATCTGAATCTATGATGAATGTCAGCTCTGATAGATTGTCTAGACTAGAAAAAAAATCAAGAATACTAATAGTTATGTTATTGTAAATAATAATTTCTTTCCTTGAGTATTATATTTTGTGATGTGGAATTAAAATGGCAATCCAAACTATGTGTTTGCTGATGAGATGGATATTTTTTCATACTTTACTTGCTTTATTCCTCAATCTGAATCATCTGAACAATTAATATAAAATGATTCTTTGACATATTTACAAATACACTGAAGAGAAATGTCAATATGTTGTCATGCATTCATTTTCCTACCATGCATTAGTAAAAATATTAAGAATTCATGGACCTGATTGAGTAATAGTTATCTTGATCTTTGTACTGCACACTTGTCTTCCTCCCTCCCTCCCTCCCTCCCTCCCTCCCTCGCTTCCTTCCTTCCTTCCTTCCTTCCTTCCTTCCTTCCTTCCTTCCTTCCTTCCTTCCTTCCTCCTTCCTGTCTATAAATGTTATTCATGGTAATTCAAATAATTTAAAAAAGCAATGGATGGAAAGTAATCAAGGAGTGAACCAACCTAGAATGAAGGAGAAATTTCCTGACAGAACAATTAATCAGTGGAATGACTTGCTTCCAGAATTTGTTGGTGCTCCATTCCTGGAACATTTTAAGAAGAGACTGGATAGTCACTTGTCTAGAATGGATTGGCTTCCTGCCCGAGCAGGGGGTTGGACTAGAAAACCTCCAAGGTCTCTTCCAACTGTGTTATTCTGTTATCCTATTAAAGTTCAGGGATTACTGAATCAATAGATTGTCAAATCTATGGCATTCAAATATTAAATTAAAGGAAAAACTGGTTTCTTTCTAGATTATATTTTTCTTCAAGTTTGTGAGGAACACAGTCTGAATCATAGATTCTAATACCCAATTATTTTAAATCATTTTTTCCCTAGCTTCTTTATGGATCTGCTCCAATAAACGATAATAGCGAACACACAGTTTTCTTTCATCGTTTTTTCCCAAATGAGGAGCTTCAGACTAAGGGGATCCTTCAGCTGCTTTTGCATTTAAAGTGGGTATGGATAGGGCTGATTTCCCAACCTGATGAGAGTGGACGGAGTTTTGTACGGAATGCCCTTACACTGTTTGTCCAGAAAGGTATTTGCTTTGCCTTCATGCAAGAGATGCCCAAAGAAATTTCTTCTAATCACATTGAATATTTATTTAAAGATTATGTCGCCATGTACAAGGTTGTCATGAACAGCACTGCCAATGTTGTGATCCTCTACGGTGAAAACCACGTCATTGGCATTTTCAGAACATTTCCCTATCTTTCAGAATATGAGGATATACCAGTAAAGAGAAAAGATAAAGTTTGGATCATGCCAGCCCAGATGGAGTTCACATCAGTCCCTTTTCAAAAAATACTGCCTTTGGACTTTATTCATGGTGCCATATCTTTTGCAGTTTCTTCCAAGGAGGTGACTGGGTTCAAACCATTCTTGCACATGAGAAGCCCTACTTTAGAAGAAGACGATCATTTAACAAGATTGTTCTGGGAGCAGGCATTTGAATGTTTTTTCTTTAAAGATACGTTAGATGAGCATGCTGGAGTGCTGTGCACTGGAGAGGAGAAGTTGGAGACTCTTCCTAATTCTGTCTTTGAGACCACCATGACTGGGCAGAGTTACAGCATTTATAATGCAATCTATGCTGTGGCACATGCCTTGAAAGCCATGTTTTCATCCAAATACAAACACAGAGCAAGGGCGGACCATGGAAGCCTGATGATTATCAAGGAAGAAACATGGCAGGTAATAATAAAAGAAATCACAATGACATGTTGATTAGGCCTCTCTGATGCCATCAGCTGTTTTTTATGACTGCAAAACATGTACATTTCAGATTCAGTATCCACATAGTTTACACAGCTTCATGGTTTATGTTTCATGACAATATAGTGTGGAGAAACTATGTAAAAAAGATCCAATTCAAAAGATTTGACTAAATCAAGCTTCATAATTCAGTTTGAAATTTTGTCAAGCCATTTTACTTGGTGATAATATGTTTATTAATATTATGGTTCACTTGCACAGTAGTATTAACAGCTTCTTCTTTTTTAAATAATTTTTATTACCATTTTCCTTTATACAGCTCTAATACATATTCAGCAGACTGTGTCATATTTATATACTTTGGATCAACATTCTATACGATATATACACTATGTACATTCAGTATCTAACCCACAATAGCCTTATGTATATTTCCAATTTTTGTTTCTATTGTCTATCCAAGTATACCATTTTTCCCAAACTGCATAACATTCCGAATCATCTTTTTCTTTTAATTCTACAGTGAGTTTATCCATTTTGGCAGATTCATATATCTTCTGAATTAATGAATTAATTAATACAATTAAGTTGTATTAACAACTTCTAAATTGTAGTTGTGTACATTTAGTGTGGATATTTATTTTTCCAGATCAATTGCATTTATTTATTGAATTTGTATGGCTGCCCATCTCACACATGTAACACTGGACACCATGCACAGTTAAAAAACACAAAGCTAAAGAATCAACATAATTCAAACACAAACATTTGTGCTTGATTTGCTTTCATTTAGCTCCATCCTTACCTGAGAACAGTCTTATTTAACAACAGTGTTGGGGAAACAGTTTTCTTTAATGAAAAGGGGGAATTGGGAACTGGATTTGATATCATCAACTGGATCACATTCCCAAACAAAACTTTTCTTAAAGTCAAAGTTGGAAAGGTAGACCCATTGACTTCTCAAGAAGAGTCTTTCATGATTTCTGAAGAAAACATCATCTGGCCGACCATGTTCAACCAGGTATTTCCTACTGTCTAAAATCCTCCTATCTATCATTTTCAAAAATCACTTTTATAATTTGAGTGACTCATTAGTAATAAAATTAAGGCAATACAATATGATAAAAGAGCAGAGATCACATTACACAGGGCTTCTGTTATTAAACTTGTCTTTCCAGAAATCTATGGGCATTCCTGAATGTACGCAAATTACCAGCTGTCATTTTCAGGTTGTCCTACATAGGGAACCATCTTTGAGTTATAAAAGCTGGAAATTATTTAATAATAAACAAGCGACATGCTGAGATACTGTACTAGTTGAAATATATTATTCCTGTCCATTGCTACCTTATAATTTTATTATATTCTAATGGCACATTATCTAAGACACGTTTTAAAATCCCAACTTTGTCACCATTAAAACATAGTCTATTTCATAATTTCTACAAGACTGACTAGATGCAATTGGAATTCTGTATCCCATGAATAAATTCTCTGCAGTATATATTTTCCGGACCTATTTGGAAGAAAGGACTGGACTCAATGAAAATGCAGATAATTCCAAAGTTTAATTTCACCTACAAAGTGTGGGATAAATTACCAATCAGATTCAACTCAAAGGTGCTTTTCAAAGGCAACTGGACTTTTTTTTTTCTTGAAAATTTTTTCCTTCTCATCTAAGAAGCTTCTTCAGTTCTCAAGGAATTGAATGTTTCACTAACATTTTCAAGGAAAAAAACCACGAAAGTTGGTTGCCTTTTGAAAATCACCTTTGGGACAACCATGACCTGGATGACTGAGAATCCTCATAGATACTTACCGATCAGATTGACCAAAATGGAATTGTCCAGTTTGAACAATTAAGACTTCAGGAAACCTCTAAGGTTTTGTGAAAACATGGAAATACATGGAAATACATAGGATACAAAGGAAATACAAAGGAAATACATGGTTCCATGAGGACATATAGACAATGTCACATTATTATGGTGGCATTCATTAAATGTGCCTATCTAATAATACCTTGAATTGAATCCTATATATATAATTTCTCCAAAAGCTATGCAGATTTGTCAGAATGTCATAAAACAGTGAAATATGATTGTATAATGTACAACTATTGAATTCCCTCCTGGTTTCATTTCTGAATAGGTATTACCACTTTCTGTATGCAATGAAAATTGTTATCCAGGCTACCTCAAGAAAAAAATAGATGAGAAGCCCTTTTGCTGCTATGATTGTCTTCCTTGTGCAAAGGGGAAAATTTCAAACAGATTAGGTAAGATGTGCTTAATGAGAAGACTTATTAATTGTCACCAGCAATATTGTATACCTATCTGTGTTTACTGTGTGTTTATTCTGTCTTTACAATTGAGAACAATGCTATTGTTCTCAATTGTAATCAATTATTCAGAATTTGGAGGATTGGCCTCATTGAAGCAAGGTAACCTCGGTATTAGATGAAATGCATTTGAATATTAGTAGCTCAGGTTGGTAGTTGAGCTGTTAGTTCGATCTCCAAACTTGGCAATTTGACTGCAAACAATTCATCTCTATTTCGGGAGACATCTTCAGTATACTTTGAATTGTGCTCGTGTGTCAGAACACTGACCTTTAAATTGGTGTGGATGTTACTTGTCCAGATGTTTCTGAGTCATGGTCAGGATTCGGGCTGTTTGACTGACTGGTTTGTTATTGTGAATTGAATATGATGTATAAAGAAGCAAGAAAAAGAGCTTGTCCTTGCGGAGAGAAGCAGGCACATAAATAGATATGAAACATAAATATTGGTCCTTCTGCTGGTCTGATAATGAATTACAATCTTCATGGATCTTTAACCCTTATAAATAACTGGAATTCTTGCTAAAACATTTGTCACCTGAGCATGAAGAATATTCAAAATAAAAAGCTTTTGAATTAAGAGAAATTTCTCCAAAAATAGATTATCTCTTTTTAAATGTAGAGAAGTCACTTATTAAGAAGGAAAGTGATAGATTTTGACTCATTTTCCACAACATACATCAGTCATTAAGTAAAATTTCCAACCAGATGAGCTCAAAAAGAAGTATCACACCCTTTCTCTGAAAATAACCTAGGAAACTCTGACCTATTACAAAATTTTCTGTTGCATGATCCTTCCATCCTCCAAGATGACACTGAGATTGATACAAACAACACTCTTGGTGTCTATTGGACCAAACATATACAGGGTACTTTTCTGCATGTGGATGGTCCCATTCTTAATTTGTAATACTGTAATACAAATAAAATGGACATAATTAATTAGAAATAAATGGAGTTGCTTTCATAGCTTCTATGGGCCACAATGTTTTCTTTGAGGAGTCCTTTGTGCTCTCTGAACTTGGTGGTTTTCTTGCAGATATTTCATTACCAAACTAGATAACTTCATCAGTTCAACAGTAATGATGTTGCCTAGGACTGATGATGTTATCAAGTTTGATTATGAAATGTCTACAAGAAAACAACTGATCTCAGATAGCACCAAAGTTTCCTCATTTCAACTCTGAGTTATAACTAAGTTCCTTATTATGACTGTAATCCAGTGGTTCTCAACTTGTGGGTCGGGACCCCATTTGGGGTCGATCGACCATTTCACAGGGGTCGCCAAGCAAGGCTGTCCGCCATTTTTTTTGTCCACCATTTTTTTTGTCTGCCATTTTTTCCCCCTTTTCCGGCGGGTTCCTTACCTCCCTTGGGCTGGGCCAGCTGATGGTCGGCCTGCTCCATCTCTGCTGCTTGCCAGCTATGCCTCGGCCAGCGCAGGGGGCGGAACCACGCATGTGCGGCGCTCCCGGGCAGGGAAAGTCCTCGACTTACGACCGGTTGGGTAGTCCTCGACTTACGAACGGTTTAGTCCTCGACTTACAACTGGTTTAGTCCTCGACTTACGACCGGTTTAGTCCTCGACTTAGATTGGTTGGGGTCGCGGCATTAAAAAGGTTGAGAACCACTGTAATCCCTTAATTCGGAGTAGAGTCAGGGCAATTGGATGGAATGAGCATTTACTGGCTGGATGCCTTTCCTGACACCATGTGGAGTTGGCAGCAGATATTTTTTCTTTATACCCTAAGAGAAACATCTGCCGCTATTGAATTGTCAACCTCCCAAGTGGGAGATGAGCATCTTAACCACTAGGCCACGATGCAACTCTTAAACTCTGATCAATAAACAGTCCTTTAATGTTTTCTTTTGCAGATGCAGCTGACTGTTTCCAATGTCCAGAAGATCAATATCCAAATGAAGCTCACAATCTTTGCATTGAAAAACATATAACTTTCTTGTCTTATGAAGAAGCTTTGGGAATCACTTTGGCCACT